AAAAAAAAAAATTTGTTAAAAATAAAAATTTAAAAAACCCAACATTTAATATGCAGATTTTTTTAACCTTATAAAAACTAAAACAAACCTGTTTTCCGAATTGAATTTAATGCATTTTTGGCTAAGTTATAGATTTTTCAAATTTTGTTTTTTTTTTTCAAAAAATAAATAAATAAAGTTTTTCCCAAATTTTATAACATTGTTAAAATTGTCAGACAAATTTTTAATATAAGAAGTTAAATTTAGTATGTAGTATGTAGTAGAAATGGGCAAATTTTTACTGGAAACCAGGCCTTAAGTTTTTATAACAGTTTATAACAGCTTATAAAATTGTTCCCAAATTGTATAACATTGGTCACACCTGAATGCTTATGTTTTTATAACAGTTTATAACAGTTCTCAGTCGCCTGCTTCTACTTCCTGTTAGCCATATTTTAATAAATTTAATTTCCTAAAAAATAAAAAAACAATGCAGTTTTATTAATCTTATAAAAACGAATACAAAAACGCTTTCCGAATCGAATTTAATGCTTTTTTGGTTAAGCTATGATATTTTGACTTTTACTTTTCCAAAAAATTATCATATAAACTTATGGATAAATATTAAAATTAAATAAAGTATGCAGATTTATTAACATTAAAATAAACTAAGAAAAATAAAGCGTTGATTAGTAAATAATAAAAAAATATTAATTCCCCGCTGCCACCTCGCTCTCTCTCCTTTCCTGTACGCAGGTGCAACTGCTTTGCTTGAGTGCCGGCCTCGTTCGCGTCCTCGTCCTCTGGCAACTTCGAAATGTTGCAGCCACATTTCGAAATCCGCCACATGTTGCCAACCAAGTGCGCATGTCCTAACACTTCCGACTTTGTCTTTCCTGGCAACATGTTGCCGGCAGAGTCCTTCTGCTTCCTTTTGGCGTGTTTTGATTTGCGCTGCTTGTTTATGTTTTCGCACATCCTGACAGGTGGTTGTGGCGCCCACATGGGTGTGTATGAGTGTGTATGAGTGTGTGTGTGAGTGCGCTGGAGTGTGAGCGAGTGTCTGAATATTTATGCACGGCAATTGCTCAATGTCGCCCATCGTCTGTCTGTCTGGCCCTCAAATCCTTCCAAAAAAATATAAGGGAATCTCTAGCTTCAATACACAGAGCGAAAAAAAGTACATGTTTTTAGTAAGGAATTATAAAGTAAATTATTAATATTATTAATATTTTATATTTTAAATTTATTTCATTAAGAAAGTAGAAAAAATATTTTAATAAATTTTATATAATAAATTAAAAAATCTAGATAATATTTTTAAAAATTCTTAAGAATAAAATGAGAAAGGCTAAATAATATTTTAATAAATATTTAAAAATAAATTGAGAAAGTCTAATAATAAATAAAAAATTTAATAAACTAAAAAAAAAATGAGAAAGTCTAAACAATATTTTAAAAAAATTTTAAGAATAATTTGAAAAAGTCTAATAAATAAATTTTCAAAAATAAATAAAATATTTAATACATTTTCAAAAATAAATATATTTTCTGGTATTAATTTTTAAATATTTTATTTAAAACTAGAAACAATTTAATTTCCGTGTAGCTACCTCCCGTTCCCTGGAGCCCAGGCCGGCGTATCCCTCGGATTAATCCCATCGCGCGTCCGCGCATTCCCGTCAAGCGTCAATTTATCATTCCAGCCTTGGCATTTATGTGTGTTCTCCGAGCTGCTTTGAGGCTCTCCAAAGACTGGCCCCGCCGCTTATAATTGCTGTGCCTCCACCATCCACCGGTTCCGGGCATATTCAATTCACGAAAAATATCCTTGAAAGGTAGGAACTATCGGGGGGATTGGAATTTCCGCCTCTTCCACCAACCTTTCTCCACCACCTGTCACGGTCGCCACTCGGCGGCCGTCGCTGTCACTTTCAATGGGAGTTTCAGCAGAGGAGTTTCCAGGACTTGGAAGCTTTTGCCCTACCTTTGGCCGAGTGCCAGGTCCAGGATTGGGAATCGGATCGGAAATGGGACGACTGGCCGGCTGCCATATGATAGGGATATGTGGGGGAGGTGGAGTGTCCTGTGGCGATGCAGCATAATTCGTCGAGTGCAGTTCCGTAAGCCGCTTAAAGGACAGTGGAGCCTCCTCCACATGGTAACCCCTGCATCTCTGGAAAACTCCAATTCCCCGCGATGCGACAGTGTGTTGCTACATAAATCACTTTTTGCATAGATGCCAGGACTCTGGGCCAAAAGTACAGTTGTGTTTGCAGAAAAAAATAAAATAAAGAAAAAAAATTTTAGGAAAAATCATAAAAGAGGCTTTTAGATTTTGCTTTTTCAAACCCAAAAGATATTTTTACAACTTGGTTATATCCTGAAATTTAAAATATTCATTTCTATATTTTTTTAAGTACTTTTAAAATTAATATTTAATATTTTTTTTTAAAGTCGTAGAGGCTTCTTGGCTTTTGAAAGCTTTCACTTAAATAAGACTCGCTTGGCTTCCATCACCCCATATCAGGGATTTCTGCATCCTGCTTCCTGGTTACTTCAGCCTTCATCCTGCATCCTTCATCCTTCATCCTAGACCTAGACCTGGGATCCCTTTAGCCGTTCCAGGACAAAGCTAAATCGCACACAAAGCCAATTGCCCCGCAACTTCTGCTTCGGCTTCGGCTTCTACTTCTGGCCAAGAGAGAGAGAGAGAGCAAGAGATGTTGGCTAAAAGGAACAAAACGAAGCCACGCACTTGTAGTTACAAAGCGGATACTCATTTAAGTTGATTCACCGCACCAACAACGGCACAAAGGACACAGCGTCGTCAGCCAATGACACTTTATGACAATTGCACTTGGCGGCTGCTCCTGATGAAGCGGGGAGAGACAGCCTGGAAAATAATACCAAGGGAGGGGCGAGGGCTAAGTGTGTAGCAGGAGAAAGGACTCGCGAAGGTCCACAAAACAGGGTCGCCTTTCTCCTGGGGCAGCCACCAGCAAACAACGGCGAAACAAAGCCGCCAACGAGGACACAACAAGAACAAACAAGTGAAAATCATTCAGGGAAAACTGCCTGCCTGCCTGCCTGCCTGCCTGCCGTCTGCCAACTTCATAGCAAAAAGGAAATCCGCGTACACGGGGGACCAAAGAAAAATGCTCCCAAAAAAGGAAGAAAAATATAAATGTAGAAAAATAAGTCTCTAGAGACTATAAAATACCCTTTAAAAATCGAAAAAATTAAAGGATTTTAATAGAAAATATTAGAGAAATATATTTAAGCTTTCAATTGTTTTTTTTTAATATTTTTTATTAATTTTTTTTATTAAATAATAATTGTAAGAACATATAAATGGAAAATAAAAGTGTCTAAAGACCTTAAAATACCCATTAAAAATATAATAATATAAATAATTAATAAATAAAATATCACAAAAATTCATTTAAGCTTTAAATTGATTTTTAAATTATTTTTTATTAAGTTATATTATTAAAAAATAATTATAAAAAATATAAATAGAAAATAAAAGAGTCTGGGGACTATAAAATACCCATTAAAAATATTGAATTCATATAGAAAATATTACAAAAATCCATTTATTGATTTTTATTTTATTTTTTTTAAATTATTTTATTAAATAATAATTATAAAATATATAAAAAGAAAATAAAAGAGTCTTAAGACTTAAAAATTCCTTTTAAAAATATATTAAAATAATAAAATTCGTTTAAAAAATATTAAAAAAATTCATTCAAGCTTGAAATTGATTTTTAAAATATTTTTTATAAAGTTATTTAAATAAATAATAATTATAAAAATATTTTTTTTAAGCTGTTGTTTTTAAATGATTCAACTTCTTTTATTTGATATATATTATACCCTCTAGTTCACTCTAATAGCCGGTACACAGAGTAAAACAAAAAGAAATCGTAAACAAAATGCCGGAAAAGGCAAAAAACATGGCGACAAAGACGATGGCGACTATGGTGATGACGATGGCGATGACGATGACTCCAGCCACGTGCTCCATATGCTGCACATGAGGCGAATGCGAATGCGAATGGAAATGCGAATGAGGATGCGAATGGTGGAGCCCAAAAGGGGGACATCCCCGAACTGGAACTGGGGAAATGAGATGCGGCCCGACGTCGCCGTGATAATGACTTTTTGTCTCTGCTCGAATGTCACTTGATGTTTTGTGGGGCCCTTCGCTAGTGTGTCTGCTTTCTGGCTACACTTACAGAAAATGTCTGTGGCTTAGAAACTTAAAATGAGGATTTAAAAATGTACTAGTGTATATTTTTTAAGTAGTTCATTAAATTAAAATTATTAAAGTAATTTTTTTGGCTTGTAAATACTTTAAGACTTATAAAAAAATATATATCAAAATCGTTTTAAATATCCAAAATTGTATAATAATTTTTGGAAAATCAAACATTTATAAAAAAAATATTTAAAAGTGGTTAAAATTTAGAGTTAAACCATTTTAAGACTTGTTTTTTACTTGAAAAATATGTTATTATTATATATTTTTATTTATTTATTTTTTATTTTATTTCCAATTAAAAAATTTTTAAAAATATTTATTTAAAATATTTATTTAAAATATTTAAAATATGTATTTATTTATTTAAAAGCATAATATATATATTTTTGTGGAGTATTTTACTTCAAAAAATATTTTAAAAATATTTCAAGGTGTCCCAATTGTTTTTAAGCTTTTCTAAAAGTTCTCTATTAATTTTTTTTCTAATTAAAGTCTCCTTAAACTATCCCCATTTCTTCAAGTGCAGCGTGCTTCGGTGTTTTCCTGCTCTGACGTATCCTTGCTGGCTGCTGCTGCTGTTGCTGGTGCCTTTGTTGTCGCCGTTTTCGTTTTTATGCCTCGAGGTCATACGGGTTCAACTCGCCGCCGCCGCCTCCTGATTAATTGGCCACGAGGAAGCAAGGAAACTACTCGAAAAAGCAGGCTCTGTTAGAAAAGCAAGAAAGCAGGCAAGCAGGCCTTGCCCCCAATGCCAGAGACATTTGGTGAAGCTCATCGTTCACAGAGCTTATTCCATTTCCTAGTTTCGACAAAACCGTACAAAACCTAAAATACAGTTCCATTTGGCTTCCAAAAAAAATGCATAAAAATTAAAAGTGAAAAAAAGTGAAACCAAAAACTTGACAAAAATTAAAGTTACCTAAAAAGGTAAAGTAAAAACCTACCAAAAATTAAACATATAAAAATAATTACAGCCCAAAATCTGGTGAGGACAACATGCAGCCGCGCTACAAGCTGCGTGTCCTGGCGCAGCGGCAACGCCTGGTCCCCAACCTAATGCTTAATATTGTCCAGATCCTGGAGGAGGCTGGCCATCCCTTGAGAGAGAGCGAGCTGGTAGTGAGCCTGAGGAGAGTCTACCACCGTCCTGACCCGGAATTCCAGCGCCAGGTGCGTCTCAATCTGCGTGACGGCGTCTCCTATGGCATCCTGAGGCGCAACAAGAACCTCGTGGCCCTGCGAACACAACGACTCGGCGAGCTGATGGCCGCGTTAACACCATAACCTCTGGGACACTAATTTTACACAATTTTTGGTTATGGGTTTCCAACAACGCGGTCACCGGAAGTAGAAATTTTTATTTGGAAGCCGAATGGGACATTACAACGTGGCTGTTTGTGGAATCTTGTATATGTTTGTTTTTTTTGTTTATAATTTATAATATATAGAAATATTTTTGAGATTTCTATCAACAAAATTTCAAGATATATGAAGGGAAAAGGTAAGGGAATGGGAGATAGTTAGACTTCTACATTTTTTGCTTAAATTCATAAAAATATGTAAGGGAATTTTAGTAACAAAATCTGGATCAAAGAACTATGGAAAAATCCATGTTTTAATTTATGTTAAAAATTTATAGAAATTAGATATAGTAGATATAGTTGAATTATATTAACAAAATCTAAAAGGAAACATCTAAAAAAAAAAAAAGAATCTAGAAAAATTCATTGAAATATTTTTGGGAATTTTTTAAATAAAATCCGGAAGGAAAAATCCATGGTAATGGGATATAGTTGGGCTTCTACATTTCTGCATTCATTCATAAAAATATTTTTAGGACTTTTTTTTTTAACAAAATCTGTAAAAAACCTATAGAAAATCTAAAAAAAAATCATACAAATATTTTTAGTAATTTTATAAATAAATTCTAATAACCATTTTGGAGTTTTTGCAAGTAGAAATTTATAGAAATATGGTATAAAATATATACCTTAAAAACTTATATTTAATTTTTTATTAATTTCCCTGATTCTGGAACATTCTGCCTTGACTTTTGATACACCAATTAAACTTAAATTCCAATTAATATCCCCACCAAATGTACACCAGCTATGCCGCCAGGTGCCATAATAATTCGCATTTTGGGTGGCAATGTATGTTAATTAGAACAGATTGGCCCTCTTGGTGGCAAATATTTGCGGTTGTCTGAATGAAATGCATGGCATAGCAGCGTCACACCAACCACAAGGCCTGTAGAGTGTGCAAATTTACATTGCACCGCCAAATATGCAATTAAATCATAAATTAAGCGGCAAAAATCAAACAAAACGTAAGTGTGTGTGTGGGGGAAATGTTTTTGAAAATGTTTAGGGGTTTTTGCATTGTTTTTAGAGTCAATTTAAGGAATTTTGTCATTATGGATTTGAAATTATTAGAGTTTTATTTGATTTGTATTTAATTTTAATATAGGGAAGGAGTTTAAATGAATTAAAAATTAAGAAAAAGAGGTTTACATGTATTAAAAATTAAAAAGAGGGGGTTTACATGTATTAAAAATTAAAGAAAAATAAGTTTACATGTATTTAAAATTAAGAAATACTTTTTTAAGGCAAGAATAAGTTGTGGAAATTTTTAAAATATATTTAAACTTTATATATTTGATAATTTTCAACAGTTATAATTTAATATATTAATATAATATAAAAATTATAATATAATATATTAAAATAATATTAAATTATTTTTTTTATAATTATAATTATTTTATATTTTAATTATATATATTTATTTTGTATTATTTTGTATTTTTTATTTGTATCTTTATCTTTATTTTTAAATCTTTATCTTTATTATTATTTTTAATTATTATTTCTAAGTCATTTTTTATTTTTTATAATTTTTTATTTGCATCTTAATCTTTATTTCTAGCAAAAAAATCCCCCCACAACAATATCGATTCCCATTGAATCGCCATCACGAATTCATGAATCGACCAAATGTCCTATCTGGTATCCCTATCCCCCTTTGTCCTCGATATCCTGACCTCAGGTTGAGGCTGAAACCCGGTCGAATGTGCGAATAATTGATTATGCGGCCGACTTCTTGATGAGGCCGCCCCGTTATTATTTTAGCCGCTCGTGTAATTGCAAACGGAAGCGGAAACGCTCGTCAGCCATAAATTTGCTCAGCTCTAAATAATAAAAAAAATAACAGTAAAAAAAAAAATATACACCAGAAACAGGAAAAGCCAACGAAACCGCAGACAGAGACAGCTGGGGCCATCCTGAAACGCTAAATAAATTATGCATTAAAGGCCATGGCGCGCTGATGATTTATGCAGAAGAAGCCTGGGATCCAGGAAGTCCAGGAACCAGGAAAACCAGTAACCAGGACCCAGTAGTAGCAGTTAATAAACCCCCAATGGTAATGGTGACCATGGCAAAACAAGAGGTCGCGTAACACTAGCAACTTCCACTCTAAAATCCAATTGTAGACGAACCAAGTCCTGGCCTAGCCAAGTTCAAGGAGGAAGAGGAGCTCAAGGACTGGGTGGGCAACCTGAACTGGGTGCCACTAGCTAGGAGCAGCCAGAAGCCAAAGCAGGTCCTCTGCTGCTGGAAGGCAACAAAAAAATATATATATATACTAGGTACTTGTAAATTTCTTATGAGCGAAAAATAAATAGGAAACAAGGCATTCAAGGCTCTATTTCGTGAATCGAATTTGTAAATGCTCTTATTTAATAGTTGTATTATTTTAATTTTAATTTCTTATTTCATTTATTATATTCTTATATTTTTTTAAATATTTTTATAATAAAATTTATTATTTTTTATTATTTTATATATTATTTCATTAAGTAATATATTTAGTATTATATTTATTAGTTTATTTGTTATTTTATTTACTATTTATTATTTTATTTCTTTTTTTTTTTTTTTTTTTTTTATTATTTTACAGAAAAATTAGAATATTTAAAATGTATTTATTGACATTTTAATGTAGCTTGTCTATCGAAATATAAAATAAATGCTATCATTATCGATTAAGAGCTGATTTTTTTTGGTTAAATATTTTAATATTAAATATTTATTTTTAGATTTTTATCTTAAATCTTGGCAGGAAAGTAGAATAAGGATTCCAGGATGTTCTTTTTAAGAGATAGATAATATTTGCCATCGATTAATTATCGATATGTACATTATAAAACTGTTGAAACATATCGATAAATAAAATCAACCTTATCCTTTAGTTTCAGCCACAAAAAATATTTAATTTGTCGTATTAAAAATCTGAAAAAATGAAACAAACTTGTTCGACTAATGCTGATACCCTTCCTTCCTGTGAGGGCATTAAAAAGAAGCGACCACAGAGAACATACATATGAGCAAAAGTTGCCAAGTTGTTGCAAGTTGGCTGAGTGCTTTTGTTGTTTCTGGTGTTCCTGCTGCTGCTGCTGCTGCTGCCTGGCAGGCACGCACAATTAAATCAAATTACCTCGAGTGCACTCGCCGCTTTTTCACAGTCACAGAAGGAGTCAGGAGTCCCAGGAATGGAAAGGGTTTCAGGCCTGGTCCTTGGGTCCTGCAATTAAGCTTTGCGTCAAGTGTCAGACTTTGTTTGGGCTTTGTTTTGCGCCTTCATTTGCTCCTTTTCTTTATTATTTTGTGTGTGAATTGCTTCCGTTTTTGGTCAACGAACTTGAACGTACAAAAATAATCCTGCAAGTGTGTGTGCTTTGTTCCCTTGTCGCCATAATTATTCGGACATCAACTAATCCAGTTTGCCAGCTAACCGCACCATGTGGGCGGCCTTTTTGCGAATTATTCGATTAGAGAGTTGCCCCCTCCCCCCAGGCAAAACTGTATCCAGATTGAAATTGCATCGGCTTTTGGCTTTTAGGGGGGGTAGGGGGGCGTGGCTTTAATTGAAATCGCAGTTCAGGCCAGCCGCCGGACAATGGAGCAGCGGAAACAAGGCAAAAATGCTCAGAGAAAAAAATAAAGAAGAGGAGCAGGAGGAGGAGGAGGACACACGCCAGGGAATCGAGTTGACATATTCATATGGGGCGATGGCTACCCCCTCCCTGGCATCCTTCTGGTTTCTTTCTGGACAAAAAGCGAACAATATGCGACGCTGATGACAGAGTGACAGGAGGAAGGAAAAGAACAGCAGCGGCAGGAGCAGGAGTAGGAGCAGGAGCAGGAGCAGGAGCAGGAGCTGAGGCTGAAGCTGAAGCTGGAACAGGAAGCAGCGTTGAAAGAAGCATTACGGCAGCTCCCCGAATCCCCCGGGAAACAGCGGGCAAACTACGAAGCAGGACTCCGACACGGACACTCACTTGGAGCTCAGGACGAACACACAGAGAGAAAATTCTCTCAAAAGTAAAAAATCTTATATATTTTCTGCTTTAAAATAAACCAAATCATATTCCAAAACTTTCTCTCAGTGTACAGGACACCCTCATGCCCAGCATTGCTGGTGCTATGAAAACCTCAAAATGTGAAAACCGAAATTAAATTTACATCAAAAAGGAGCGAAAAGGACAACAAGGATGGGGGTCTAGTCTGGCCTGCTGCAGGATCAACATGTGAGGGTGGCTTTTGCCTGCATTCCAGAAGGGGAGGAGGGGGAAGGTCCTGTTGCCATTGTAATTTTATTAGGTGAGAAGTGTGCAAAGTGTGTAGCAGCAGCAGCAGCAGCAGGATTTTCTGCTTCGGGGCAAATAAATAAGCAAAATATGGTGTGTCCAAAGCTTCTAACCTGCTGCGTATGCGTTTCCGTTTCCGTTACCTCCCCCCCCCTTCCGTTTCATTCCCTTCCATTCCGTTCCATTACAATTCGATCCGGGGGAAGAGGGGGGGGGTGCACATTAAATTAGTTTTGACACGTAAATGCGTTTAGCAGCCTAGAGTTCGTTTGCCCTTTTGTTTTTGTGTGCTCCTCCAGCTCAGCTGGATGTCTGGCCTTGTTTCCATCTCGAAGTAGTCACCACCCTCCCCTTCCCTTCCCTTCCCTTCTCGAGTTCTATGGTAACTTCCTTTGGCTTAACATTCCTGGCATTTTGTAGCATAATTTCAACCTGTCATTTTGGGCCGCGAATAAATTACACACAAAACGCCAAAGCCAAAGGCTAACAATTTATGGCCCAAAACGCGAAACCAGAGTTGTGTGCAATTAACCTGAAATTAAATGATTGTTATTATTAGGGTTTTGTGTAGGTGGGTGGGTAGGGGTGGGGGGTGGTCATTGAGGTCGTTAATTTGGTAATTGTGGGTGCTTTTTAGAGGGGGATAGTTGAAGTGGTGGTAAGTTTTATTAGTATGAATTATGTTGTTTATTGTTATCGGTTTTCTTACATTTTTGTTTATTAAATTGTGATTTTTTTATTTAATAGTTTTTATTTTAATTTATTTAATAACATTTTATTTAAATTATGGGTTTCACTGTCCTCTATTTTTTTTTTTTTTTAATTTTTGTTAATATTTATTCTTAAATTATTATTTTTTTAGTAGTTTTTATTATAATTTATTTCTTAAAATTTTATATAAATAAATTTTTTTTTATTTTTATTAATAAATTATTATTTTCTTAGTCGTTTTTATTAAAATTTATTTTTTAACATTTTATTTAATTTTTTTTTTAATTTTTAATTTTTTAATTTAATTTTCTTAAGTGTTTATTATTTAATTTTTTTTTTATAGTTTTTATCATAATTTATTTTTAAAAAATTTATATGAATTATATCATTTATTGTCCTCGAATTTCTCGTCAATTCCCTAAATGAAAATTTAAAAAAATACATAATATTATAATAAACTGATTAAATGATGTTTTTTTTTATAGTTTTCATTATAATTTATTTTTTAACAATTTTTATAATATTATTTTAGCCTAAGTTTAAGCATTTTAAAAGCTTGCTCCTACTCAACCCTTTGTTACGTTTGCAATGTTCATAGCTCCTGCCTTTGAAGTCCTGGCAAACTGAAATATCTTTCAAATGCAGGCAGTGAGAAGAAGCAAATGGAGCAGGAGTAGGAGCAAGAGCAGGCCAAGGACTATGAGTAGCAGCAGAAGTAAGTCCTACCACCTGGTGAAGCTGCATCATCGGCTAATCTCCGCTGCGTGTGCAAGGAACCAAGCTTGGGCTCAGGTCGTTGCGTTGACACGCAACATTATGGGCAGCTACTGCCTGCTCAAATGCCGCAGGATGCCAAGGATCAAGCAACCAAGTGAACTTTTAACATTTAAACTAGGGAAACACACGAACCAAAAGTAGGTACCTTTTCCAACAGGAACCTAAGAGAAGTTTTTACACTAGAATAAATGTGTTTTCAAAACGCTTTTTTAATTCTATTATTCCTGTTTTATATTTAATATATTTTTTAATTAAATGTTAATTTAAAAAAAAAGTAACTAATCTTGGCAAAAGTTTCCTCAGTGCACAAAAGATATTAATGAATCACAAGAGCTCTGTAAATCATCGCTGGCTGGTTGGTAGTTCCACTACTTCCTAAGCTTCATCCTGTCACAAGAGGGAGTCAACAGGTTCTGGCAAAAATGCTGGACAAGCATATTCCACCACAAGACTTGGGGCATATCGATGTGCCTGATTCCCTGACAGTTGCCACAAAATACAATTATGACAAGAAGAAGCCCAAGGAGGCGCTCCAGCAGGCAAATAACTTGATGACCATATCTCGGCATATATATGTATATAATGGCAGACAAAAGGATGCTAAAAGGAAGCCCCTACGGAGACCAAGACTGACGCCAGCTTGGTGCTCCAGTTCCAGTTCCACTTTCATTCCGGTCGAGGCCAGGCTGCGTCACCAGGCTGCAAGGATATTTTTTAGAGCAGGAGAAGGCGTTCCATGGAACTGAAAGGAGCGTATGCGTCGCCATGCTGATTACCAGGCCATTCCCCCGCCGGGGCCACTCTGTCCACTGTTTACCCATTTCATCAGCAACAACAGCAGGAGCAGCAGCATCAGCATCCGCAGCAATGGCAACAAAACAAGAGCAGCAGCAGCAGCAGCAGCATCACCATCTCATCTCATCTCATCTCAGCCTCTACTCAGTGCAGCCACCCACTGGCGCCACTTTGTCGCGACGCTTTTTATAATTGAAGCAAATTGTTAGTTGAGTTGGCATTCACTCGTCGTCCTCATCCTCCTTCCGCTCTTGTTATTCTGCCTGGAAAGCCACCCTCCACCCTCCACCAGCTCCGTCTGCATCTCCATTTCCCTTCCCCTTTTTGGCCTGGCATTGTCGCAATTCCAATTACAAAACAATCATGATGAGTCCTAGATATTCGCCACTCTGCACACAATAGTTAGTTAACTCAACAGATCCTGCAGGAATTTTATTTAAAAATATTTAAAGAATTAAAGGACAAACCTCTCAACAATCTAAAATTGAAGGTTTAACTTAAAATTTGGATTTAAGAAAATCTAAAAAATATTTTATAAATGAAAATGATTTGTAAGAATGAATGCTATGTCCTTTTTTGATTTCAGATGATTGGAGGGACTCGGGAGTTACTCTATAACCTAAAATCCCAAAGATGCCTCAAGGCACTTATCAATATTTCACTGATACATCTCCTTTTTTTTTCTAAAACTACAATTTTTATTTACCCAAAAAGGCTATTAAATATTAGTCGCTGGAACCAGAACGACAACTCATAATTGTTGTGAACGCATAAGGATAATAGCGGGGGGGGTGCAACGATTCTCTTAGTCAACGGAAGAAACATCCTTCACCTTCTGGAGGCCAGCAGCTGGGCTTCATGTTTCTTCGTTACTCTTTTTCTCTCGGAATAGGTAAAAATCCATCCTGGGGCTTGTGTCGTCATTGTCTTTGTCTTTGGCACAGGACTCGAGGCTCGTTGCCAGGTTATGGATGGATGGATGGTCCAGGATATCAGCCAGGATCAAGCCGCGAGTGCTGTGCTCTGCTCAATATGTGTAAAACCTTATCTTAAGGGATACGAAAAAAGTTATATATAGAAGATGTGCGCGGGGAGGGGATTATGTCTGGTAATTGCCAATGTCCAAAATGATGAGACTTTGATGATTAACGCTTACGCCACGACAATGGCTCCTTTTCCAGCTCCTTGGCCCGCTGGGCAGCCTCATGGTTACGCCTCTTGATAACCATGTGCTCGGCCTCCGAGAGCAAACTATAGCGATTGCCCTCCTTGCTCATATAACCATGAATGACGGCGGCATGCAGGGTGTGGGGAATGTGACGTTTCAGCTCCACCACTGGACGATGCAGGCGGGCAGCCAGTATGGTGACCATTTCCGGATAACTAACTGGACGGAGGAGCTCCTCCATTAGAGTCAGAACTTCTGGAAAGAGATCAGGAAGCGGCTCCTTGCGATTACGCAAATGCTGTCTGTTGTTGCCAATGCGATGCATCAGCTGCTCCGGCAGCTGTGGCGGTACTCCTAGCAGGCTTTGGGAGACGCCTCTTTGATTGGAATGGTTATGGGTATGCATATGGACCGGCACATGAGGCTGGATGTCAGGTGTGGGCAGCAGGGCCCGTACAGGTGGCAACAAATGATGGGCATGCGAATGATGCGGATGCTGTTTCTGATGCTGATGAGGATGCTGATGCCTCTGGGGACGTGGATAAGGTCGAAGTGGATGAATATGAGCCAAAGGATCTGGTGGCTGATGGAGCATGGTCATCTGGCGCATCAGCAGCTGATAGGTGGCCTCGGCTCCAGCTGCTGCTGCGGCTATGGTTCCCGATAGTGGTAGATCCTCGGAGCATTCAGCTTGACTCTCCTTGGATGGCTTGAATATGGGAGCCTTGACATTCAGCCGAAAGGGCGAAGATGTGGTTGAAGCTGTTTCGGGCATCTTGTAGGCCACAGCATCAGCATTTAGCTTGGACTTGGAGGCCAATCTAATGGCCTCGGCTGAGGGCATGGGAAAATTAAAATCCTTCCATTCCAAAGGTGAGGGAACCTCTGTAAGAAGTGACTGTTTAACCTCCTTGATCTCGTTAGTCAGGCGCTTGATAGTTGGCTCTTTGATGGCCAAACAATCGCCCGACTCTTCTGGGGCAGGGTCATCGGCGCAATGGACTTGGACTTGGGCTTGGTCTAATTGTAGATGATCAAACCCAATTCCAGGGCCATGTCCCTGCCCCTGCTGATCGCCGCTAGAGCTGGTTCTAGTGCTACTGCTACTTGAACTCGAGCTGGAGCTGGTTTTGCTGCTATTGCTGCTAAAGGTATCACTGCTAAGGGCTTCCATCTCTATTTCCTCCTCTGCCGCCTCCTCCACCTCCACCTCCACCTCCTCCTCCTCCGCCTCCGCTTCAACCTCTGGCTCTGCTTCTCCCTCTTCAAGATCATTTTCGATTTCAAACTTTCTATAAAACTCCTTCTCCTGCTGCCTGGCCAGGGCCAGCTCCCGGTCAAGGCGCTCCAACTGGCTGAGATGCTGGCCCAGGCTGAGACTTAGATTGTGCATTTTGCGGCGATGACTCAGCTGCTTGAGCTTGGCCAGATACGGGGACATCATCTTTTTGCCGAGATTAAGCTGCAGGTCCTCCAGAATGCCGTGGAATGGATGGGTTAAGGGTCTTCTCTCGTCAGGTTCTTAAGCTTGAGCAATCGTTTCAAATCGATTCAAGTTCGATTTATATCGATTTTGATCGCTTAAGATCGCTTTAGATCGCTTTAGATCACTTTAGATCGTTTTAGATCGCTTTAGATCAGTTTTAGATCGCTTTAGATCGCTTTAGATCGCTTCAGTTTAGTTCGGTTCGGCTGTTGTTAATAGCTAAAATGGGTTCTTGGATTTTTGCAATTTTTTTTTGTATTTTTGTTATCGAATTTTGGTGATTTTATGATTATCGCTTTTGTAACGGTTGCGTTGTTGGGCTGTTTTTTTTGCTTTTTATAAAATATAAGGAAATATACATCTGCACACACGTGTGACGACGGACAACCGACGATCCGCTAATGGACTGCCTGGATATATGGCGGTATACAGATTATAAACCCAACGTTCGAACACGATACGGATGCGTTAATTTACAACAAGGTTTTTGTTATTCTGCCGAAAAGTGAAATTTTGTCGATCCGAGTGAAAAGTGTATGGTGCTCAGTTCTGGTCGAAGTGAAAGTGAAATGAAGTGTGAATTCTGAAATCTAAAATCTGACTGAGTCTGACTGATAACGTTGCCATTGAGTGTCTTTGAAAGGCCAGCTAAGTATATATTTATTTTATAATTTTTTAAATCATAAAAATCATGTATATTCAATATTTCAAACAGGCTTTATTACCTCAGGGTTAGCTTAAACAAATAACCTAGAAGTAGCAAGATGCATAGCGGCCAAGGGGTTTTTTTATCTTGATTATTATAAGGTCTTCTGCTGCTTCTAAAACCTTAAAAAGAAACAAGAATAAAGCCTAGTTACTCTTATTTTCATAATTGCTACACCAAAGACCTTAAAAACTAAAAGATGCATAACGCTAAATGATTTTTAGGCCTCTTAAAATCTGTAAGCTAAAAAACATACACATTTAAATCCCTTAAATCTCAAAACCTTGACTAGAATTTAGACTTACATCTTTGCCTTTGGCCAAAATGTAGTTCCTTGGCCCCAAAAATGGAAATAAATTTCTTTTTTTTGGGGTTGAAACACAACCCCAGTGTTTGCAGAACATAAATAAAGAGGGGGGGAAGCAAAAAAAAAAAAAACCCTTAACAATTTTGGGGTTCCGGGTTCTGGGATGATTTTGCCGCAAGCCAAACTCAAATCCGAAACCGAATTCAAATCCCAAATCCGTTTACCCAAAATCATGTAGAACAATATGCTGCCAGAAAGGATCTCAAAATGAAAAGGACGGGGTGATGAGGTGCGAAAAATCACAAAAATTGGATTTCATTTGTTAAAATATGACCAATGACCTTGAGGGAGGGGATAATCCGGCCCCTTCACAAAAGGAATAAATTCTTAATGTCTCAGGTCACTTAAGCAGTTTCAACTTCAACTCCATCCTCATCATTATCATCATCATCATCGTCGTCCTCGTTTTCGTCCTTCTCCAGTGTTGGGTAATTTCACAATTTTCAAATTACACACCACAAAATCTCATTTAGCTGAGTAAAGCCAGTTGACTGGACTAAACTGAGAGGGGAAACCACGCACACACACACACAAATTACTAAATGAGTTGAACCCCAGACTTTAAGAGGTGAGCAGTAGGTGCTCCTCCAGGTCCTGCTCCTCCTCCTGCTTCCCCCTAAATGTAATGTGCCCAGGCTCACGCTCGCTTGCCCCGTTCAACGGGCGTGAAAACAACGCATTCACACTGCACACACTAGCGCAGTTAACGGGAGCCTGGAACTAAGACCTCGAGGCTCTAGGAGCCATCCCTGACACCTGCAATACACCGAAAGAAAAATAATTAGAAAATAATTTATGAACTTTATCAACACTAAATTTGTAAACATAATAAAAGAAAGTACTAAAGAAACATTGAAATAAATATAAATATTAAAAAATAAATAATATTTTTATATAAATGAAACTAAATATTTACAATAATTTATAACATTTATGAATTATAATTTATAGAATTCTGTTATAATATTTTTTCTCAACATTTTTTAATCATATAAGCCTTATTAAATTATTAATTAATATTTTAAACAATATTTAAACAATTTTTCTCTTCGTGCTGTCTCCCTTGCAGTCCAAACCAGGTATTATCACACATGGCAGTAGCAGCAGAAATGGCCAGTGTGGGGGGTTCTTGGCGACCAAGGACATAAGCGTGACTAAACCCCAAGCGCAGTGACTTCCGTCGCTTCAAGAGGGGGTGGAGCCCCCGGAGAGACGGACGATGCAGCTTGCCGGAGGAGCCACTGACTGCATCCTGTTTGGAGCCTTTAAATGCTAGTTGGTGTCGCAACAATCAGTGAACTCAAACACAGGCAAACACATGCACACACAAACACACACTATCCCTCTACAGGGACCTCTTCTATATAATGAACCGACCACATTTGGGGATGTAAGGATAAAGTATGGAAATATAATATTTTTTGGAATGAATAAGAACTTTAACGTTTTGAAAAACTAGGGATTTCGGTGAAATATCGAATATGTATCGACAAAGGCTTCGATAAAATATCTATAAAAATTAAGGAAAATAGTTTTTTATTTAAAATTACTTAAACAATTATGCATACTATAACTAAATAAACTTAAATACTACGCTTCTTATAGATATATTGTCAATATAATTTTTAAAAATAAAAAAAAATCCCCGATAATTTGATAAATAAGAAAATCGATTTATTACTTTTAATATTTGTTAGATTTTTAAGAATTTTAAATATCAGTTTCCCTTTTAATCCAATTAACTAAAATATTAAGCTTTTTAAAAATATATTAATAATATATTAAAAAAAAGAAATCAATTAAAAATTTTATTAATTCGATAAATAATCGATATTTATCATTTTTAAATATGAAAATATTGTAAAATGAATTAAGAAATTATATATAAATACCATCCCTAAACCGACTCAACTTCCAAACGCACTATATATAGTATATATATATATATATACCCAGAAACAGGAAAGTGGGGTCAAGCTGGCGCCCAAAACTGACACCACATCAAACGCAAAGGACGCGATTGAGGTCGCCCGCCTTAGTCAACGTATCCTTGTTGATATGACCGCAAGCCCAAGGCTTCCATATGCCAGCATCACACCTCGGCGAAGGTGGTGGTGGGCCTAGGCACGAGCGGGGGGCTGAGGCGGAAGGACGAAGGACAATGGTTATTGGCGGTTCTGCTGCCTTCGAGTTGCATTTCAATTAGCTTGTTTAGCTGGAAGGTCCCAGCGAATCGGGGATTTCCTTGGACATCTCCCAGTCGCAGCAACCCATCGATCAGCTTACGGTAAGGATTCCACCAGGACCAAGAACGGGATTAAATAGGTTGTCATGAGCAACGCTTTGGAGTGGGGATTATTTGCAGAATTAGTCTTTAAAGGCAGGTGAGTCTCTGATTAGACAAATTTAAATATTTGTAAATTAAATATAAAACTATAATTTGTAAGTATTATTTCAAGACTTCTTCAAGTTTTTATTTTATTTTTATTTTAAATTTCTTTTTCATTAAATTTTAATATTAATTTTCAGATTCCATCTCCCTAGTTGTCTCTCCACTAACATCCAAAGACTCCATCGATTCGGATGCTGTAGCTTGTGATATCCAGGAGGACCCAGCCATTCCCGACGAGGAGCTGGCGGCACGACTCTGGAGCTGCTCCAGGCGATTGGTCACCACCGAATAGCGAAGATTCTTCATACGCAGATAGCCCGTGATGAGGGCATCCTGCAGGCCGACTGTAATCTGGCGCTTTAGCTCCTCGTCATTGCGATTCATTCGCTTGGAAATGGCCACTACAATTTCGGGCTCCGTCAGGGGATGATCCGAGTCGGCGATCACCTGCAGGATGCTGCTAAAAAGATTTGGAATGAGTTTGCGCCGCGGTGCACGATTGTAGCTGCTGTGCAGCATTCTGGCAGTCTCTGGTCCAGGAAGCCTGGGAGCGGGCATGATTCCAAAATGATATTCAAAATGATTTTAAAATGAATTTAAATGAATTTAAATTTTTAAATGAGAAATGAAAGCCAAAAAGACAATTAACACTAAGAGTGTCTGGTTTTAAAAGGGTTTTTGGTAAATAAAAAATATTTAAAAATATGTACAACCTTAAAATAATACTAAAAAATAAATAAAGCATGTAAAAAAATAGTAATACAGTTTTTAAAGCTAGAATTCCCAACTGATTCTAGCTCCTAAACGAAAAAGAAAACAGCAACATGACTTTGATGAGCCAAAATCCCTGCTAGATTTATTTTTAAACTAAAATCTCTTACATTAAAGTAAATATAATTGTAATTTAATAGAAATACAAGAAAATTCCTAGATGTTTCCATAAAACTTAAAGCCATCGCCCCAAGACTACAGTCACTTGCACTTACTCCCGAGGTCGACGGGGGCCAGAGGACTTTGGAATTGGGTTTGGGGGCAGACAGGCAGACGAGTATCGATTTACAGTTAAAGTGACTGTTGCGGATATGCGGATGCTGTAAGTGTAAGTGTAAGGGCAAGTGTATGGGTAATCAAGTACAAATGCGAGGACATCCGAGTCGATGACGCCATAGACACAAAAAAAAAGGAGGAAGAAAGCCAAAGAATCCTGCGGCAGGCGCTTCAAATTTGCATGGCGACGGCATCGGATTGTTATTTGTTGTTGTTGTGTCTGGCACGTGTCGCAGGATATTTAGATAGCGGAAAATTTCCCTTACTATAATACTACACACAATAAACCGCAGCAGGATTGGCATCTACTTTTGCATTTTCATCTCACATCTTTTGCAAATCGCATTTATCTGGCCACCGAGGGGTGGCTAATGAGTTTTGGGCGTAAATGACAGCCCCCCGAGTGCGTTGCATTCGTAATTACACCATCGAGGAGCCCAGGAGCAGGTATGAGTTGATGCACTAAGAAATAATATAAATAATAAATTATTAGAAATAATATAAATACATTAAAAATAAGGCAACATAATTGTGTTTATTTAAAAAAATTCCATAGGAGCTTCTTTTTTATAGTTTTAATAGTGGAAAAAGAATTTTATAGGAAATATGGTAATGTAATTAATATAATTCTAATTAATATTTTAATATCAAATTAAAAAACCTTTAAAATTTGGCTTAAAAATATAATAATAACTTGAAATAAATATAAAATAATTGTTAAACCTAAACCTAAACCTTTTTCCCAATGCATAAACCCATTTACTCCGACTCATATATAGATTAAAACCCTATAAACCTTACCGCAGGCTATCCCCCTGGTCCCCCTTTGGCAGCTGTCAAGCCTGATTAGCAACTTTGAGCTGTTGAAGCGGAGCTAACTTTTGTCTCGCATCCATTTCGGTTTGATATTATTTCGCCACCCAAGCTCCCCAAACTCCCTGAAAGCTGCAGCTGGAGTGTTAATTATGACTGACAGCGTTGGCAAGAGCTACACATTTCAGCACTTGGACACCACCCAGGCGAGCCATTCGATCCAGTGAGTCACTCGGGGTAGCCCTAGCCCGTATCCTTCGTCCAGTGGCCACTGCAAGTTTGACTAATCCGGCGCCAGTGATTAGGCCAGGCTCCAAATGCGACTAGTAACAATTAAAGCCAGCCAGTTGCGACTGCAAAAGTTTAGCCCGCACTACGTACAGCCTCGAATCTCATCAGAAATGCACTGGAAAAAAATAAAAATAAATTAAATAATATATAATTATTTGGTTTTGAGAATATTAAAAATCATTATTCTTAAATCGTAAAAAAAAAGCAAATATTTTAAATTTGATATATGTAAAGTAATATAAATTATAAATTTAGATAGATTTATTATATATTTAAATGTGTGCCCATTCCAAAAGGACCAAAGCTTTGAATAAAAATGTAGAGTGTGGATCGTGGCTCCAGAGAGTGGGAGTGTGGAAGCTAAGAGAGAGCGAGAGCGTCGCTCTTTCGCGGCCGCCATCTTGCCGTCGTCTGCAATCCTTCTGATTCGCTATTCTTCTTTCATTTTATTTTTCGCTAAAAAATAGTTCGGTAGCAAAAACGCGAGCTCCTACGAAAACGGTTTAAAAACGGGGTAAAAACCTGATAAAAACGCTCGGAAAAGTGAATAAAGCAATATCGCGCCGAGGAAAACAAAAATGCAATCGAAAACTAAAAAAATCTACGCCCGGACGGCGTAGCGATCGGTTTTATTTCAGTTTTACTTTAGTCCTACCGCATGTGCAAGTGCGAGTGAGACAGACCACGTGGCATTGCCAGTGCCGCCTTGCTTTTGTGTTCTTCTTCTTGCTTTGATCGGACAAAAGCGAAGCGGCGCACAGAAATAAGGATAAATGTGAAAATGGACAAAGAACGGCCGAAAAAGTGCCGTTCGTTTTTGGTTAGTTGCGTCTGCCAGTATTCCGCCATTCCTTTTTCATTTCCTTTTTCGCTAAAAAATAATTCGGAAGGAAAAACGCGTGTATAAATATGTGAAGGATAAAAAGAAACAAAAAATATTGACGTTTAAATGCTGCAAATAAAAGGTGAGTAAATGTAATTCAATTTAGTGTTGTTTATGTTTGTTTGCTTCTGTTCAGTTTTTGTTCCTTTCTGCACATTTTCTTATGCGCCGTTCTTGCCTCTCTATCTGTTTTGTACAGCTACGGCTTTTTCATGTTAGCTTTTGTGTTTCTGATCCTTGCTCTTAAACTGCTCTCTCTTAACTCCTCTCTCCCACGGGAAGAGAATACGATTTACATTTGTGGCATTGCAATTTCAGGCGCTCTTTGTCCGGATTGGAAATTATTTGGACAGCGAAATTAACGCAAATCGAAATGAAATAAGAACCACTAATAATTTATCAATAAATTCCAGTAAAATTTTCCGATCGTTTGTATAGCAGCTAAATTATATACATAGTTTGTCCGATGTGGTCCGTTCCGACTTATCCCAATTGGGAATGGCAGAACATAAATCATAGCGGCAAGATAAGGGTGTTAAGTACAAGAAAATGTTTAATAATAAATAAATACAAAATTACACAATTTTTTAATATAAAAAAATTTAGATTTATCAATTTATATATTATTTTCATAAAATATTAATTATTTCATTTATCTTCAAATGGTATTTAATTTCTTTATTAATCATTATTCTTAAATCGTAAAAGAAGAAAATATTTTAAATTTGATATATGTAAAGTAATATAAATTATAAATTTAGATAGATTTATTATATATTTAAATGTGCGCCCATTCCAAAAGGACCAAAGCTTTGAATAAAACTGTAAACAGAGAGTGGATCGTGGCTCCAGAGAGTGGGAGTGTGGAAGCTAAGAGAGAGCGAGAGCGTCGCTCTTTCGCGGCCGCCATCTTGCCGTCGTCTGCAATCCTTCTGATTCGCTATTCTTCTTTCATTTTATTTTTCGCTAAAAAATAGTTCGGTAGCAAAAACGCGAGCTCCTACGAAAACGGTTTAAAAACGGGGTAAAAACATGATAAAAACGCTCGGAAAAGTGAATAAAGCAATATCGCGCCGAGGAAAACAAAAATGCAATCGAAAACTGGAAAAATCTATGCCCGGACGGCGGTTTTATTTCAGTTTTACTTTAGTCCTACCGCATGTGCAAGTGCGAGTGAGACAGACCACGTGGCATTGCCAGTGCCGCCTTGCTTTCGTGTTCTTCTTCTTGCTTTGATCGGACAAAAGCGACGCGGAGCACAAAAATAAGGATAAATGTGAAAATGGACAAAGAACGGCCGAAAAAGTGCCGTTCGTTTTTGGTTAGTTGCGTCTGCCAGTATTCCGCCATTCCTTTTTCATTTCCTTTTTCGCTAAAAAATAATTCGGAAAGAAAAACGCGTGTATAAATATGTGAAGGATAAAAAGAAACAAAAAATATTGACGTTTAAACGCTGCAAATAAAAAGTGAGTAAACGTAATTCAATTTAGTGTTTTTTATGTTTGTTTCCTTCTGTTCAGTTTTTGTTCCTTTCTGCACATTTTCTTATGCGCCGTTCTTGCCTCTCTATCTGTTAGAGCTGGGAAACTATCGATGGTACTATCGAGGTATCGACTTTTTCCTTTTTTTGAGCCACCATCGATAGTTTTTTATCACTATCGATAGTACGGGACTATTTTTATATCTCTGCTTTGTTGCTGAAATTTAGTAAGAAAAATGCAAACAAATATATATATATATGTATATATATATTTTTTTTTTATAATAAAAATGTATTCTAAATTAACTTAAATTGGAGTTGGTGGTGAAAAATATTAACTGAATCTCAAAAGAAAGGGTGCGTCTACGCCACGTCTTCAGAGTCTAAGCGTATGTTTAGCAATGGTAATACAATTTTATTTGTGCAAAGTTGCTTGGATAGAATATTTATGTTAATTACTTAGTCAAAACATATTGAATAGTATTATAATTCTATTTGAAATTGCTATAACTTTAATTTGCAAAAAGAATCGTAAAAAAACGATACTATCGATAGTATCGAATTTTCGTTTTCAAAACATCGAAAATATCGAATGGTGTCACTATCGATAGTTTCCCAGCTCTACTATCTGTTTCGTACAGCTACGGCTTTTTCATGTTAGCTTTTGTGTTTCTGATCCTTGCTCTTAAACTGCTCTCTCTTAACTCCTCTCTCCCACGGGAAGAGAGAATGCGATTTACATTTGTGACATTGCAATTTCAGGCGCTCTTTGTCCTAATTGAAAATTATTTGGACAGCGAAATTAACGCAAATCGAAATGAAATAAGAACCACTAATAATTTATCAATAAATTCCAGTTAAATTTTCCGATCGTTTGTATAGCAGCTAAATTATATACATAGTTTGTCCGATGTGGTCCGTTCCGACTTATCCCAATTGGGAATGGCAGAACATAAATCATAGCTGTAAGGTAGGAGTGTTAAGTACAAGAAAATGTTTAATAATAAATAAATACAAAATTACACAATTTTTTAATATAAAAAAATTTAGATTTATCAATAAATATATTACTTTCATAAAATATTAATTATTTCATTTATCTTCAAATGGTATTTAATTTCTTAATTAATATATA